GGAATATTTTCTCCATCATTGGTATCAGTGGAGCAAATAGCACCCCATCATTGGAAGGAATAGAGCCCCATCACTGGTGTCAGTGGGTGGAATAGTGCCCCATCATTGGTATCAGTGAAGAAATAGTGCCCCATCATTGTTGTCAGTGCAGAAATTATTGCCCTGCTATTTGTGTCAGTGGGAGGAGTAGTGCCTTGTATCAGTGGAAGGAATGGAAAAACAAATTTCCATTTTACAGACAAAAATGCAAAAAAACAAAATAACTACTCGCCTCGCAGGGTGGAACAAGCAATCCAACAACACAACAGACACACTGTTGAAAACCAAAGCAAAGAAAAGGAGGAAGGAAACCCCTGCAGGGGGGAAGGATTGCAGTTATCATAATAGAGTAATTAACACAATGATCTTTATAAAAAATTAGGATACATACACCCTGACCACTTTGACCATATTGGTTCAAAATTCCACATAGAGTTCGTGAGATAGTAGGTATGTTTTTCAACGAGAATATATTTCCTAGGCTCTGTTATCCATTCAGATAGAGAAGGGGGCTAAGAGGAAGTCCACTTGAGTACAATTTGTCTACGGGCTATAAATAATGCTCTCAAAACAGTGAGTCTTAGTTTCTGATCAGTTAAAGATAAATCCACATGGCCAAGTAAATAGATAAGAGGGTTAACCTCAAAAAGCCTGTTAAGAGTCCCTGTCACCTCAGCTCAGTATCTTCTCAATTTGAGACAATGCCATAGAAGATGAACAGGGGACCTAGTTCTGCGTTCACATCTAGCACATCAAGGGTCATTTTTCAGGCCAATGTTACTCTGAAGGTATTGTAGAAATATCTACCCTGCTAGAATTAGGAATAGAGCCTATATCTGTCTCCCATCAAGACCTACATAGCAAAGGAAACCTCAAGAGGAATTGATCTAATAATCCATAGTACTGTAGGTGTCCAAAATTGATCCCTTAGTTGATGATGCATTAACTATAGTGTTAATGAGAGGCATGGAGGAAAAATAAACCAATTCCAGTTAGTCTGAGCTTGAATAGAGTTCCTAAATTGGAGATATTGATAAAAACCACTTAGGTTTAATCTCAAGCTCTGCCACTAATTGTGCAGAAGATTTTAAAGTACCACTGTCATAGATATTCCTGTTTTTTCTCATCACTGGAATCCCTGTAGTTTACAAATTTCAGGAAAAAGGGGATTATCCCAAATGGAGTTAAATTTAGTAAAGGAGAAAATCCTTAATTTGTTTTGTCGCATCCCATGCTTATGCTCTTAATACATTTATTGGGTAACAATTTTTTTTTTTAGCCTCAAGTGGAGTTTCTGCCGTCAACCCTTTTGTGTTCGGGGTAATGAAAACTTTTATGATCAGACCAAGTTTTGAAATTTTGTTAAACCACTGTTTACTCAACATTGACGTTTTATCCTCTTTGCATAGCAAAATAATTTTTTTGCACTTACTAGGCCATCATTTGGTAAACGTTTTTAAAACTACTCTGAATATACTGTATTTTTATAACAAACAGAGAAAAATGCAGTTTTAGTTTGTTTAATACATATGATTTTGTATTACTATTTACTAGTATTTTCACTAAAATGTTTTTCTCCCATTTATGCGTAGTACAGGTAAATAAAATATTTGTAAGTTTTCATACATATGTCAGCACTGTATTGGTAAACAAGTGTGTATATTTTAGATTTCTAAATATGAGGCATTCTCCAGTTCAGTAGCTGTGTATTCATCGACTGGTGTGAGATGGCTTTAATATACTGAAGGGCCATTGAAAGCAGGTTAAAAATAATAAAGATAGGACTGTGTTGATTTTAAAAATAATAAATATGTCTAGGCTAAAAACAGCATGTTCCTCAATACCACCCACAGTGCTCTAATGAATATACCCTCACCTTTTCGCTTGGACCCCACTATTAAAAACAGGAGTTCAGATGGTGCTTGATTGCAACCTATTTGCTCTCTAGGTACTTCTCTCAGAGCTGCTGTTAGCTACTTTTCCACTGGAAAAATCTCCATCCCAGGATACTCAAAGGGGTAAAAAAAAAAGTTCCATAGTATAAAACCCAAAAGTAGTTTGTAAAATTGCACTTACAAAGTTATTTAAAAGCTAGCATCCTATTCATAGAAAGCCATGTTATATATAGGAAATTCAAGATGGTGCCTTGACCCTGCACTGCATGATGACGTTCAACTGCTCCGCCCACCTGACACATTGTGTCCATACTGGACTTTCTCAAAGGCTCTATTTGCTGAGCACGTACAGTAACTATACACTTTAGTGGATTGTTCTGTGGAATGATCACATATTATTTAGGAAACAGTTGGTTACTTTATATATATGAAATATTTTCTTTTAATTCAAGTGAGATTTACAATTTGTGCATGTTTATTTGAATATACTATATGTAATTGCACATGTTTTTTGCTAAATGCATTATATTATATGTTAATGCACATATTTTGCTATATGCACTATATTATATATAAACACACATGTTTTTGCTATGTGCCCTATATGTTTTTGTGTATAATTTGGATATTGGAGGCTTTCACTATTTTTTTTTTACTTTTATGGTTTTTGTCATGAGATTACACATATTGGTGGCAGCTGCTCTTCGATAATAATTTTGAAGATTTGTGATAAAAGGTATTTGGTAGGGAATAGAGCAGAGCCATATATATATATATATATATATATATATTTATTTGAAGATGCCATGTATATATACAATGAAGATACCAATAATTGTATAGGGAGCTCATTAAACGCTATTACAGCTCAATTTTAATTATGTGTTATAGATATTTATGTAGAGTTGTGCTCAAAAGTTTGCATACTTTAACAGAAATCGTTAAATTTTGGCATTGTTATTGAAAATATGACTGACCATGCCAATAACTGTCTTTTATTTATAGGTTAGTGATAGCATGAAGCCATTTATTATCACATAGTTGTCTGTCTCCTTTTCACCCAAATGGCCCTGATGAAAAAAGTTTACATACCATGAAATGTTTGTCCTTGGTACAGGCACAAAAGGTGACACACACAGGTTAAAATGGCAATTAAATGTTGATTTTCCACATCTGTGGCTTTTGAAATTGCAGTCAATGAGTTTGTTAGCTCCTAAAAGGATGTATTGAACAGGTTAGATAATGAGTCATGGGAGCAAAAAAGAACTGTCAAAAGACCTGCCGAACAAGGTAATGTAACTTTATAAAGACGGAAAAGGATATAAAAAGATATCCAAAGCCTTTAATATGCCAGTCAGTACTGTTCAATCAATAGGAAGTGGAAAATTTGGGGATCTCTTGCTGCCAAGATCAGGTAGACCAAGAAAGACTGCAGCCACAGCTGCCAAAAGAGTTGTTCGGGATACAAAGAAAAACCTACAGGTAACCTCAGGAGAAATACAGGCTGCTTTAGAAAAGACGATGTGGTTGTTTCAAGGAGGACAATAAGATGATACTTGAACAAAAATGAGCTGCATGGTTGAGTTGCCAGAAATAAGCCTTAACTGTGCCACCAAAAAGCCCGGTAAAAATATGCCCAACAACACCTTGATATGCCTCACAGCTTCTGGCACACTGTAATCTGGAGTGATGAGAGCAAAATAGAGCTTTATGGACAGAACCATAAGCGCTAGGTTTGGAGAGGGCTCAACAAGGCCTATAGCAACAAGAATACCATCCCCACTGTGAAGCATGGTGGAAGCTCACTGATGTTTTGGGGGTGTGTGAGCTATAAAGGCACAGGGAGTCTTGTAAAAATTGCTGAATGCGGCATGTTATCAAAAAATACTGGCAGACAATTTGCATTTTTCTGCAGAAAACTGCTCTTGGGACACTCTTGGACTTTCCAGCATGACAATGACCCTAAGCACAAGGCCAAGTTGACCCTCCATAGGTTACAGTAGAAAAAGGTGAAGGTTCTGGAGTGACCATCACAGTCTCCTGACCCTAATATCATGAAGCCACTCTGGGGTTCTCAATCGTGCAGTTCATGCAAGACGACCAAAGATTTTGCATGACCTATGACTATACCACCTGCAAGAATTCAGGGCCTCATAGACAACTATTACAAAAAAAACTGCACACTCCCATTGATGCTAAAGATCAATACACAGTATTAAAAACTAAGGGGATGCAGACTTTTGAACAGGGGTCATTTAATTTGTTTACTTGTTGCCATATTTTGTTTTATGATTGTGCCATTCTGTTATGACCTACAGTTGACTGTGGCCTGCCTGCGTGTGTGGTGTTGGTGGGGTTAGACTTTCTTATTTTTTTTATTTTTACTTTTTCCCATTTGCTACTATCACAGTGGACCTGATAAACCCACATTGTGATGGTAGGGTCCAGTTTACATGTGTCTGACAAGGGGCACGAGGAGCAGGTATTCACACACCTGGATGTGTAAAATATCTCCAGTGTCCAGGAAACAGTAAAGTGTCTGCATAAGCTGATGAAAAGAACTGTATACATGAACTCCTTTTACCGGTTACCCTGTGGTGACAGGGTCACTTTAACTATGTGGGAAGGGGGCTTTAATTAAAGAAAAAATTGCCAGGATAAAAATTGAGTTAACTTTTATGTTGTGCATTTAAAGGTGCAGGATACAGAGCTCTCAACATTGGTCCTTCGTGACTTACAGTGATACCTGTTATACATATGGATGTTCAAGCCAGTGATACATCAAGTAATTAAAGGGGGATAAAATGAAAGCTACTTAGCGTGCACCAATAAATACAAATTAGCCATCGCAATGCTCATATTTTTATCCTGGGAAAGGAAACTGTACCTGAGTTGTCCTCTCGTAAGGGCTCTAGGTTTGAAAGCTCTGGTGTGAAAGGTGAACATGAACTGTGCGTGATGACATTTATTGTGATCAAGAGATGAATGTATTAAGCTATTACTGAATTTTATTGTTCATATGCAGAATCCTATGATATGGGTAATATATCATAGTTTTTCATCTAGAGTACGAGCTGATCAACGTAGTACTGAGTCTCGCCAGATGGTGGAGCTGGCAGTCAAGGAACACAAAGCAGAAATTTTAGCACTTCAGCAAGCATTGAAAGATCAGAAACTCAAGACAGAAAGTTTGTCTGATAAGGTCAGTCAGTTTGGTGTATGCATTTAATGGGGAATATAAGCTCTTTGGGCTAGCACACTTGTTTTGTTTTTTAATTTTTTTTTTTTTTTTATTCATTTCATTTTTGACTTGCGCAGTTGAATGATTTGGAGAAGAAGCATACAATGCTGGAAATGAATGCACGAAGCTTACAACAGAAATTGGAGACTGAGCGTGAACTTAAGCAGAGGCTTCTGGAAGAGGTATATTACGTCTCTTCTGTAAGGAGAAACAATTAGTAAACAATAAAGGAGACTGTACTTACAATGCCTTTCACTGGAGTGGGAGGCACTAAGAGCATTATCTCTTCTGTCACCAAAACAAACTTAAAGTGCATGAAAACTGAATCTTTTTTACATTAGTTTTTTATATCCATCTTAAGGTCAGTTCAGTTGATGCCAGTATATATCCATTTTGTTCAGTTGTTGAAGAAAATAACCATAGGTGGATAAAAGGTTCAACAAAAAATGTTTCTTGCCTAAACTGATGTAAACGGATGACATCCATTTATGTCTGCAAAAAAGGAGCAAATATTTTCCGTAGACATCTTATTATTCTGCAGACCTAAATGGTCTCAGGTGTAAGAGAATGTAAATGAAGTTACGACTGTTTTACACCCACCCACCCATAGACATACATTGTGGTTCAGTCTGAATTTGTCTGAAAAACTGACAAATGGATTCAGACTGAACATTTGTGTAAATAGGCCCTTAGTTTTTTTTTTTTTTAACATTGGTGAAGTCTTTAGATGGTGCAATCCTGCTTTGAACTGGAAAAACAAGAAAATATACATGCCTCCTAACAGTCCTTGATTATCACCCTACTCCCGCTGTCCTGTGTACAGGGGCCATGTCCAGCAAAGCCTTTGCCCCTGGTTTTCATATGAATGAGTGGACAACAGTATTTGTACATAAACAAGTTTCACAGGATCATTCATATGTAAAGCTGAGGGAGCTCCTCCTCAGCTGCAACCACATCGCACAGCTGACTTCCTGCTTTCACTGCATCTCTCCATTGCATCTGGTGAGTCTAAGGGGAGCATTTTCTGTACTAGTAGCAAAGAAAGGGGGTCTGTACTGGAGAGGGGAGATGTTTACAGTAGAGGCATGTATGTACTGGTTGGGAAGGGGGGTTCTACTGCAGAAAGGGTAGTCTGAACTGGTGGGGAGGGAGTGTGTCTTTACCGGTGAGTGGGGAGTCTGTACTAGTGGAGATGTGGGGGGGAGCTCACTGGTAGGGAGTTAGGAGGATCTGCACTGGGTGGAAGGGAGGTCTGAACTGGAGGGGAGTGAGGATTTCTGTACTGGATGGGGGTCTATTCTATTTGGGAGAGAGGGTATATGTTCTGGTGGGGCTCAGATAGTAGTCTGTACTGTAGGGTTGGCTGTACAGTGGGAAACTGGGGCTGTGGGGGAGATCTGTATTGGTAAGGTTTTTGTTTGTAAACTGTAAACTGACTTGTGTGTTATGTACTTCTCAACCCTGTCATCTGTGCATTATGCCCCACTGACCCTGAACTTTGTGCATCACGCACCCCTGACTCCTTCAGTGTGTGTGTGTGTGTGTGTGTGTGTACACTGCTGACTCCCTGTGATACGCAATGCTGACCCCTGCACTCCCTGCGATACGCAATGCTGACCCCTGCACTCCCTCCGATACGCAATGCTGACCCCTGCACTCCCTGCGATACGCAATTCTGACCCCTGCACTCCCTGTGATACGCAATTCTGACCCCTGCACTCCCTGCGATACGCAATGCTGACCTCTGTACTCCCTGCGATACGCAATGCTGACCCCTGCACTCCCTGCGATACGCAATGCTGACCCCTGCACTCCCTGCGATACGCAATGCTGACCCCTGCACTCCCTGCGATACGCAATGCTGACCCCTGCACTCCCTGCGATACGCAATGCTGACCCCTGCACTCCCTGCGATACACAATGCTGACCCCTGCACTCCCTGCGATACACAATGCTGACCCCTGCACTCCCCATGATACGTCATGCTGACCCCTGCACTCTCCCCTGAAATACGTCATGCTGACCCCTGAACTTTCTACGATGCGCTCTCCTGACCTCTGCACTTTCTACGATGCTCTCTCCTGACCTCTGCACTTTCTGCGATGCTCTCTCCTGACCTCTACACTTTCTGCGATGCGCTCTCCTGACTTCTGCATTTTCTTGGATGCGCTCTCCTGACCTCTGCACTTTCTGCGATGCGCTCTCCTGACCTCTGCACTTTCTGCAATGTGCTTTCCTGACCTCTGCACTTTCTGCGATGCGCTCTCCTGACCTCTGCACTTTCTGTGATGCGCTCTCCTGACCGCTGCATTTTCTGCGATGCGCTCTCCTGACCGCTGCATTTTCTGCGATGCGCTCTCCTGACCGCTGCATTTTCTGCGATGCGCTCTCCTGACCGCTGCATTTTCTGCGATGCGCTCTCCTGACCGCTGCATTTTCTGCGATACCCACTCCTGACCCCTTGTACTCTGTGCAATATGCACTCAAGACCTTTGCACCCTGTGCATTAAGCACTCCTTGATTTTGTATGATATTATTGCAATTGTCCTAATCACTACACTTTGTACACTGGGCTTTATATGACATACTCCTGACCACTGTACTCGAAGTACATTATATGCTCCTGACGTTTTTTAAAGTGGTTGTAAACTCTCATATATACCCAGTGAAGTGACTGGCCTCAGGTGATACACAGAAATGAAAAAAAATCCTCCTACATAAGTCGTACCTGTATATCTACAGTTGTCTTTCTCCTACATCCATTCAAAGTGCATAATTTACACAGGATCTCTCAGCTCTGAAAACCAGTGTCACAAAGCTGACATTACATTGGTAAGGAGAGCTCTGAGAGCTGACTGGAGGTAAGAGACACACCCTCTTCACACAGCTCACAGGAACAGAGCTGAGGCTGCCAATCTGCTGAAGGTCCCTCCCCTGCCACCATTTTTCTCTTGGTGTCAGGAAAAAGAGTCAGGTGTTTCATGCAGATAACAGAGGAATGAGGCAGTGAACAGAAATGACACTTAGAGCTAATTCACACGTGTGTGTGGTGTAGATTGAAGCTCAGGTTTCACATAATTGATACAGTAGTTGTTCACTGGTTCATGGCAGGTTTACATCAGGTTCAGGACAGGATTAGCTCTCAGGATTATCCTCTTCACACATATGCAGTTTAGAAACAGTTCCCATAGAAGTCAATAGCCTGTAATACGCACCTGGACTGCACTGCTGAGAAATCGGACAGGACTCTTTCAATCCACACTGAATTCGCACTGCCAGTGCTCCAGACGTGTGAGCAGGCACCATAGGAAGCAATGGTATTTCACATGTCATGCAGATTAAATGTGGTTCAAACCGCATCCAATCCGCATATATGTGAACCGGCACTTGGTGTTCTGGATTGAGGCAACAACACACTATATTGAGATGTGCTTTGTTCATATTTGGTGTCTGAGGTTTACAATCGCTTTAAGTCAGGCTGTGTGCAGAAAAGCATAAGTAATTGAACAGTTTAATTTTTTTTAAAAATGAGTGCGCTGAAGTTTGTTTGTGTCTGTTAGACTCTCGCATGTGGCCCAGACATTAATGCATATTTTGTGGGTAAAAGGAATGTGGTATATGTGTGCTGTATATCTATACAGTGAGTAGGCTCAACAGGTGTTGCAGTACTCAGCAGAAAGGTTGGTGTTAAGTGATATTTTTAAAATATTTTGACAACCCTGTTTGCGGTGTAATTAGTATTTCACTGTATTCTTTGGAAGAGCTTTTAGGTTGTTACTGTATGAATTGACTCTGCTAGAAGTTGTAGCTAGCTAAGCAAATACATAAACAATTTTATTAAATACACTTCTTGCATGTGCTTCTGTCCTTATGATGATAAATCTTCCAGTGCCAGGTACGATTGTTATCAAAGCTGCTGCAGGTATGTCTTTAAGCCACACCCATAAGACCCAAAGCCAACTTTTTGGTGACCAAACCAGTTTTTCACACCAAAATATTGTCCTTTCTTTTGTCAGTTTCAAAAGTTGGGAGGTATGAACAAATGCCTTTTTTGGTTGACATTATTGTTTGGTAATGTACTGGTAGGTGTACCGGTGTAACATGGAAGCTAAGTCACTAGCACTAGTGCACATGCAGCCCTAGTGTCTGTTTTTTTTTACTTACACCATGGGTACCATCTCCATAATGTGTGTATGTGCTTTTTGTGTTACATTATATTGTTTGGAGGCAGAGATAAAATTAAATGGTTCTGTAGAATAAATACAGAAGTAATTTTCCATCTAATAAATGTCCTGTTTTGTGGAGAGCAGCAAGCCAAGTTACAACAGCAAATGGATCTTCAGAAGAATCACATCTTCCGTTTGACTCAAGGACTTCAGGAAGCCCTGGATCGTGCAGACTTGCTGAAAACAGAGAGGAGTGACTTAGAATATCAACTTGAAAATATGCAGGTAAGATTTCTGATCTACACTAAAATAGGCCATCTCTGCAAAACTAGGTTTCTTTGTCGAAGGTACATTCACTTCTTACATTGGTTCAGGGGTGGCAAAACAACAGAAAAAGTCACAAATTCATAAATAAATAATTCATACTTGCAATAAGCACTGGCCTGGTGCCTAATTTTCATTATATTAGGTTTTACAGTTTTTTTGTTTTCTTTTAAAGCATGGTATCAAGTTTACAATAAATTGGAATGGAACATACGTCCTGAATCTGCCGCCATTAGGAAACATACATCACAATTGTCTAATGATGTCAGAAAGTGACAAACGTTAAGCTGGGTATACCTCTTGTGTGTTCAACAGAAGTTGGTCTAGCGACTGGCTTCTGTCAAATAGTCATGCTGGAAAACCAGAATTCGATCAATACTTGCAGCCAATGGCTGCATCAGTGATCTGTGTATTCTGACATGGGGGCAGTCCCAGTTGTCAGAGTACAAGGACGCAACAAGAGAGATTCCTGCATCAACATCCGATGGTGATGCAGGGATCTGATTTTTTTTCTTTCAACTTTAAGAAACAAAAAACAAAAAAAAAAAACAGTGTATACCCAACTTAAAGTTTAACTAAAGGCATTTATTTTTTTCGTTTTGGGTAGAGTGGAGATGGATTAGAACACTGGTTAGGTTTTTATTGCTGTGCTGCTTTTAGGGAGATTCACCCTATTATTTGTTCTGTTTACCTTTTATAAGTGAAAATAAAATCTAAAATTTTGGGTTGTCCCCACAACAGTAAAAGAGGGGAAATCTTTCAATGGGGACACAAATTCTGGTGACCTGGGAGGCCACACAGAATTCCTTTAATTTGCAGGGATTTCCCTCTCACTTCCTGTTTTGGCTGTGAGACAGAAAATGAAGGGAAATCTCCCCAAAGGGACACAGATAGTAAAAAATAAAAAACTGACAGCGGTTTTACCCTCTTACTCTATCCAAAATGGAAAATAATTATTGCCTATAGTCTACTTTAAGGATATTGGGTGTATGGACAATGAAAAGTATGTCTTTACAGAGGCTCTTAGGTGGAAGGGAGGGGGCAGGGAGGGGAGTTCAATGACATGATGAATGTAGCTCTATAGTACTTCAAATGTTTGTTTGCTTTTAACGTTCGCTTTTGGAGTGAATGGACTTTCTCAAATGAAAACCACATACACACTTAGAAATTATTTGTTTGGATGAAAATGTTCCATCCTTCTTGGAATTTTTCTTGTCATTGCGGTCAAATACGAGTGTTGATTTGACACCAAAAACAATTAGAAAATTGAACAAATTTTAATAACACAGAAAAATTTGCACAAAATTCTACTAGTGTATGGCCAGCTTTACTCTGGCAGCCTCTTTGAATTTTCTCCCTGTCATAGCCATTGTGCTAATGAACTGTACCTGGAGGAATAGGAACAAAATAACCTCTGATCATGCCAAGTCTTTTGGAAAAATTTTGGAAAATCTTTGTGCGTTTCTGATGCTTGCCTTTGCTTGAGTCAGCAGTTTTGCGACTACTGCAGACAACAGTCCAGCACTGTTGTTGGTTGGTCTGCTCTTGTTTTGTCATTTTGGGTTGGTCAGCTTAAGCATGCCCCAGGTAGGCTTGCTCACAGCCTTGTTGCAGCCAGCTGTAAATCTTTTTTTTTTTTTTTTTCTTTATCGTACATCACAGGTAGGGTAATTCTTAGACTAACTGGTTATGTTCCACCTCCAGGCCATAATGAAAAAAACACAAAGCTGTGATGAAGGCCTGCAAAATCCTACCACTCAGAGCATGCCTTCAGTACCTTTTGGAGATCATTTTTTATGTTTTCCCTTTTGCTGGATCTGTTCATTAGCTTCTTGTAAGTTTCTCGTTTAGTGTCTGGCTTTTGATTCTTAAATTATAACTAAAGGTAAATCTTTTTTTTTTTTTTTTAAGTTTTGAATAAAGTGTAGAGGGATTAAAACACCTGTCAGGTTTTTATTGCTGTCTGTGCCCTGGGAAGGTAGATTCACCCTCTCTATTTCTCCGGTTTACCATTACCAACAAAAGTAAAAGTAAATTCCAAATTTTGAGTTGTCCCCAAACGGGAATAGTGGGGATATTTTCCAATGGGGATACTAGGCCTGGTTACAAGAGATTCCCTCACTTTAGAGGGATTTTCTCTCATTTCCTATTTTGGCTAGGGGTAGGCAGTAAATTAAGGTAAATCTGCCCAATGGGACACAGATGGCAAAAAATAACACTTTCAGGGGTTATAGCACCCCCTTATTCTTTCCAAAATGAAAAAAAAGTTTTGTCTTTAAATTTACTTCAAGGGCTGTCTCTGGCAGCAATTATTCAGATTGGTCACCGATCGAACTTTATGACCATGAGTGACTGTACCCTAAACCTGTAGGTGAAGAGCAGGGACATGCCTGTAAATTGTTGACTGACACTGGGCCCTGCAGATACCATGCAACTTGGCAGGCAGTCTGCATTTCAAGAGTAGCTGGTAGGGTGCTCTAGAGGTCCAGGCAGTGGTCCCATGCAATGGATGCCAGACCCTGATGACCAGGTATGATTCTTACCGAAGCTGCTGCAGGTATATTTATTTATTTTTTTTAAAAACCCATATGGTCACACTTTTTACTGCCTGCACCAATTTTTGGCATCACATTGTGCCTCATTTAAAAATTGTCCTTTTTTTTGTCAAGTTCAAATATTGGGAGGTATAAATATACTCTATGCCTTTTTTTGGTGAAATTATGGTTTGGTAGTGTCATGCTAGGTATACTGGTGTAGCATGGAATCTAAATCACTAGTAGCGCTGCACATTCAGAACTAGTGTCCCCTTTTTTTGATTCGCACCATGGGTACAGAGCTCCACAGTGTGTATGTTCTTTTTCTGTTACATTATATTATAAATTTGTTTTGGCAGCAGAGAAAAATTCAAACTGGAGGTGAAGAGTTGGGATAGCCTATAAGTTGCTGATTGACACTGGACCCTGTAGATGGCATTCAAACTTGCAGGCGGTTTTCATTTCAAGAGTAGCTGGTAGGGTGCTCTACAGGTCCAGGCAGTTGTCCCCAGATCCTAATGAGCACTATGTGGATATGTCTGAGGTGAAGATCGAGCAGGGTACTGTGCTCTAGCTCTGAATCTGAAGACACCAGACCAGTAAGTGTCCTTGGTTACTGGTCCTAGTGTGCTGTTCTTCTCCCTGTCCCCCAGTGCGCCTGCACATGCCCACCCATCAAGCTGTTCTGCAAATGTACAAGCCATCTTGGATGCCTTTCCATGTGTACACCAATCAGCACAAACACCTACAGGCTCCCTCTGCCTGCAAACAGGCAGTATAACAGCACAGGTATTCTGTGCTACTGGGCTCCAAAAGCCTCCAGGTGTTGGACACACAATGCTTCTCTCTCCACAGTTCAAGGTCATAAGTACCATTGTAAGGAAGAGTCACATTGCAAGCAATGGTAGATGACCTTAAACACAAGAGGGTGTTGAAGGTCTACCAGCAGTTTAAGTTGCTATTGTTTGGAGAAGGAGGTATATAGGTTCCTTCTCTGAGCCTTGGCACTGGTTCTCTTCCTGGTGCTCAGGCCCTAATCCCTGAATACTTCAGGATTTTCTCCTTAAAGGTCACAATTCTCCACTTGAGCCCTGATGAAGTCACATGACTCGTGATGTAACGCGTAGGACGGAAGCGTGGTGACGTTATTACGGTACGGATGGCAGCCGTCATCATGGTACTCCCAACCTGTGCTGTTTTAAAAAACAGTGATTGCTTTCTGGGTCTGCAGACCCGTGTACATATTGTGAGTAGTTTTATGGTTTACTTATACATTAATAAAAGCTTGATATACTACACTATGGGAGCTCTCTTTTGATCCCCTTTTTATGAGGAATTTTGGAGGTGGAGGAGAGGTAAAGGTATACACAACCTAAAAGGATATCGTTAGCACTGATTGCTGTGAATGCCATTGAGAGGAGTTTTCATGTGTTTCATCACTGAGATCCATCTGGTTGAGGATTATCTACTTGCATTTACGCTTTGTGACTCCTTGAGGGTCGCAGTTTAAAGGTTATCGTGCATGCTAGGCGGTGAAGGATTCCCCCTTTGGTCACTGAATTTTACACGTTCCTTTGTGCGGAAGATTCACACACTATTTGTTCTTTGGGACTGCATTTATTTGCTTCTTTTTTTTTTTTTGTGGACTTTTTGTGACTTAATTTGTGTCCATTTTTTTGCCATTCATCTTTTTTATATTTCAATGGTTTTTATTAATTTTAAACAGTCTAAAACAGAGGCAACAAAACACACCCACGCAGGGGCTATCAACTGCACCAATACAAAAAAGCAAAATGGAGAAAACAGTGCTCTAACGCCAACAAGGCAAAAAGTGCGCCCACCAGGGGCTATCAATGGCACATAAGTTACAATAACATTAATGTAACTCTGACTATAACAACTAAAGGCAGCTGTCCACTGTCACACCAAAAACAAACAGAGATAGAGAGAAAGGAACAAAAAACAAAACAAAGAGCAGGGGTCCAAGAGCGCCAATACCGAACGCCATTACATTCCCAGACTAGCCGGGGGGAGCGTGGGAAAGGCATATTGCAACCACAGCTCCCATATTTTCAGAAATTTACGTTGGGAGTCGTTGCATATATTCAACATCTGTTCGTTGAGCATCATAGTGGTCATACGATCCCGCAAGCCCTGAAGAAGGACAAACGGACTCTTCCAGGCCTGAGCAATTGTTCTAGTGGCCGATAAAAACAAATAGGAAGCCAACTTCTGCTGATGAGCCAAGAGGCCCTGTATGGGGTAATGAAGCAAGGCATACCGAGCATCCCGGCGTATGGAGAGATGTAACAAAGTGAAAAGGAGGCCAAACACACAAGACCAAAAACGCAACAGTCTCGTGCATGACCACCAGAACTATGGGGAGTCTATCAGCAAAGAGCGTATTTCTGGAGACTCTGGGGTGCT